TTTAAGTCTGGCTATTTTATACGGAACCTGAACAAAACAGTGTCCTTTCAGAGAAGTATCAAATACATTACCTTTTCTCAAGAAATGTTTTCCCATTGACGTAATTTTTTCCCATTGCTGTTGCTTTCCAGGCAAAATAAGCTCCCTGTAAAAGCAATAATCTATTAATTGAATTGTTTTGTGTAACTTAGTGGAACACTATGTATTCAATTACTTGGTAAAATATACAGCAGCAATTAGTAGGATACTGAGTGTTCTGAGACTACAGGAGACAATTCTGGATCATATTGACACTAATTTTATATGGAACATATGCTGTGAAGCTGTACAAGATGTGTATTGCACCCCACCTATTTTCATTCTCCCGCTACTTTGAAAGATGCATTTAGTAAGTCATTAGCATAGTTTTGATTTGGGATTCCTTAACCAGAAATAGTTTGTTTGCATTTGAGAAAGAGTGCACTCAAATCCTTACTGAGGCTCACCCCACATATTCATCTTTTTGAAGATAAAGTAAAATAATGTAAGTGACTTGTTGCAAATCAGCCATCTGATTCATGTTCACTACTACCAACATATTTAGTCATTGCCTCTAGCATGAAGACCACCAGCAGTTCTTTGCCTCTATCAAACTGACTTAAACAAGGCATCGGCATTTTGCTTTTTACACTGAAGCATCAGGCAATTCAAACCACTGGAAGCTGCAATGAGCACTACAATCAATGACCTCATTTTTTCATCTGAAGCACTGCACCTCATACGTGCATCCAAGGGTAGTTTTTCTGAAGTGCAGTGCAAACCCAGAAAAAAAACTCATTTAAATTGACCACTGTCATTAAATACCACAGCATGTGCATTACATTTCACAATGCTACAGGTTTTGGCTTAACTTCCATCCAGTTTGAGCAGTATAAACAGTCAATTTATTTTTTCTTAGTAGCTGTTACAGAACGCCATTTTTGCTGGCACTATTACCTAGGTGGGAAGGTATGAAAAGGGATGACCTCCCTCAGAAACAGCTGCCATCTCTCAAAGCAGCACAAGAACATGTAGGCACAGAATGATGCAGGCTTGCTCCAAGCACCTACTGAAATGACCTATTTTGACTTCTGAAGTTATCTTTCATTCTAGCTGTGTATTATTATTCTCATCACAGAAAGTACTTCATGAGCACATGCAAAGTTTCACGTGTTTTATCAGAGCAGCAGAACTTACAAGTGTAAGATACTTACAGATGGATCCGACTGAAATAAATACGGCCGCCCTTCATTCCAGCCACATATTAGCAGTGATACACCAAAGGGACGAACACCACTACAGGCAAACAAAATGTAATAAATTATCCAGTGAAAGTCAAAAGTGACTAATTATTCTGGATATTTTTACCTTCTCCCCAGAGCAGGGCTGTAATGAGGACGAGTCAACCAACAGAACAAAACCAAAAGTGTCCTGCCTTGGCTGACATGTCTGTGTGCAAGATACGGAGACCATTCTCACCCACTGCAAATCAGTGCTTCTCCCATTGGTACACTTTCTGTGCACATTCTCCACTGAAAAACTGCTTTTCCACAAAACCCCCAATCCCTGGGTAGCTGTTACTCATTACATTTAAACACCAAAATCTTTCCAAGCAGCTCTGCAATCCCAGCACATACCCAGACTGCGTGTACTCCTGCATCACAGAGGCAATTCTCTGTACTAGCTGAGCTGTTGGAATGGGCTCATGATAGACCAAGTAATACTGCTGGGCCAGCTTCCGAGCTCTGTGCACAAGTACTCTGAAAACAAAGACAAAAGTACTATGTTAGAAAAATTCCAACTAGAACTGAAAACTCATAATAATATCCATTCAGGAATTGTACATCTGGCATAACATCAATGTAAGACCCGAGACCATGCTGAGTTATCTTTATCAACCAAGTAATTGCTGAAATATATAAAGTTGAATTACACTGCTTCTATTCTTTAGATACAAGATTATCTGACAAGTTAATGAATATATTAAGAAAAAGTTCAAGTGAATGTCATTTACAGTGCAATATAGTATTATGACATACACTTAGAAAGAAACAGCTAATTGCTACCTGTTACTTAAACTTCTTGTATGAATATGCATCTAAACAGTGATCAAACAGAATGTTTTAATACCTGTAATCTGGACCCATACCACTGTACACTAAACCTATATGTTTGGTAATTGGTTCTACTTTGTGGACGCTCCTTTCATCATACAGAATGGACTTCTGCTTCTTCTCAGTTGCCAACACCACTCCATTTGCAGCTGGAAAAGAACAAAAAAACATTTAAAAATGAAACTAAAATTAGCAGTCAAAACACTGAATGAGCTTATTAAACTGTTAAAAAATGTCTTCCTCTCTTTTTAAAAGTCGTTCAAGCTTACAATCAGGTTAAAGACAGATACTTTGATGAATACACCCAACACATTGTTTCTTTTTTAAAATAACCAAACAGCTCCCATAATTCCATTCTAAATAGTCTGTATAACATTAATAATTGAGCAATCTAACTAGCTTTTTTGTGTGTGTGTTATTTCTATATATACGGACAGGAACACTCAAAAAACCCCCAACACCAAACATCTACTTCTACCAGCTGAATGTCTCCAAAATCACCCAAAAAAAGAACCCCAGGAAGCATAAAACTTATTAAAACATGTGAAAATCCACTGAAAGAGTAACAAAATATTTAACAGAAAGAAAGACAAAGAACGATCCAATACAAAAGACTCAGTATGTACATGATCCAAACTGGTTCAGTTCTCCCAAAAAATAGACAAAATCCCAAATCCTTCAGTATTGTCAGGACATACCTTTAATCCCAACTGATGGAGCTCCTGCAGCTACTGCAGCCAAAGCATATTCAATCTGAACAAGCTTTCCAGAAGGACTAGAAAGGAAGATGCAAAATAAATTTTTCCACTCAGTGGGAAAAAATCTTCAGGCTGTATCATGACTTTCTATTAAAATTACACTGTATGTGTGGTTTCCAAAAGCTTTCAAGACACTGATGTTCACTTCTGAAAGGAACCAGTAAAACACAGCTAGGCTTTTTGACTGACAAGCACACAAGGTCAATGGCACAAGACAGCAACAACTCCTATTCTGTTCCCAGGCAATCCTGCATTTTGTTTTAATGATACACGTTATTCTGGTAACAGATGCAGAGTCATCCAAATGGAGCTACAGGTGTCAAGCAAAATAAGTTACAAAGTAACTGATTCAGAAGGAGAGGGGTGGGGAGGGGTCCATTCTCCATCCCCAGTAAAAAGAACACCAGAGACAGCCACTTACTGGATGAGTGAGTGGACAAGTGATTTTGCAAGTGGATCTGTTCTCTAGGCTGCATTTCAGACACTGCTGCTTTAATAGTTACACAAGTAAAATAGGATATTATGTAACTCAGTGCTTAGATGAAGAAAATAAAGCAAGGAATAATCAATCAGTATAGCAACTTATACACTGAGGAAACAGGGTGTAAGGGTGACAAAGTAGTAATTCTGGCTTTCCCACTACAAACTATAACAAATCAGAACAATCACTCCAAGCACATAGTGCTTCTGTTAAATACAAATAGTTTGTGATTCCCTTAGGAAATAATTTCTGAAAGCTTATAAACAATTCAATCTACTTGAGCAGAGCAAGCATGTTAGGCTGCGCCCATCCATTAAGAACATTCTTTTCATCATTTTAGGTTACGAACTGCTTCATTTGCTCATCTGCAACAAGCTTTTAGCAATCCCTTTTGCAATTACAGCATGACTCTCCACTGAGATTAAGGGGACACCTTCCCATGAGCAGCATAAAGGTTCTTTTGTCCAATTTATTTTTTCTATATGCAACATATGTCTGAATACCTTAATAGTTTCAAAAAATGAATGGAAGGTAATTTCCTTTACTCTAAATTAATCTTCAGTCTAAGTATTAGAGCAACACCCCAACAGACACTGCTGCAATAGCATATTCACTCTGTGCAGGCCATCATTCCACATTCAGGCTGTGCACAACACCAAGTGCAAGGAGAGCAGCCACAGCAAAGCACAGCAGGAAGGAAGACAAACTATTTTAAAACTCATCTGCTTCACTCATTCTCACATCTGAAGCAAGCTCTCAGGACACAACAGCTCAGCTGTCATCACGTATTTCCAGTTAGCTCAGAATCACAGAATTATTCCCCAGCCTATACTGTGTGTGTGGTGATCCCGAGCTTGCTAAGCCAGGCACCCGCTGTAAGGCACCGCCAGTGTCCAGACAGACCTTAACGTGATACTATAGCAGCTCTGTCTCACAGCAACAAGGACACAAAAGCGGCGCCCGCACCGGGGCCCGAGGTCAGCGACATCACCAGGTGGACCCAGGGCCCTCCCCACCGCCCTTCAGGAAGCCTCTGGGCAGCTGCGTGTCCCCCTCGGGCGCCTGACCCCCGCCGCTCTCCCCACGCCCGTCACTCCTGTCCAGGTCGAGCCCCCGGTACCCCCCAGCGCTCGCAGGCCCGATGACTCTGCAAAGCGCCCCTTCGGTCCTGCCTCGCCGGCAGGCCGCTCCGCTCAGGCTGAGCGCCGTTCTCCCGCTGGCCCGGCAGCCCGCCCGCCTGTGCCTACGAGCCCACAGCCGTCCCTGCCCCGGCACCTGAAGGTGGTGAGGGAGAAGCTGTAGCCACGCTCCGCCATTTTGGCACCAGCCCCTGCGCTCCCCGCGCCGGCTCCTCGGCGCAGGCGCGGACGCCTCTCCCGCTCCCAGCGCGAAAGCACAGCGAGCGCGCTGATTGGCGAGGTGGTGGCCTCTGCCCGAGAGGGCCGGGATGTGGTTGGCGGCGAGGTGCTCCGTGAGGCATGCTGGGAGTTTGAGTCCTCCATCCGCCCTATACCGCTCCGCCCTCCTGGTAGCGAGAGCAGTGCTGGGACTTGGAGTCCTATTCCGGTCTCCCTGCAATGTCGTGATTGGATGGGGACACTCGGTTTCCCAGAAGGCTTAGGAAGAGGGTCGTCTGCCCCGAGGGCTCGGCCGGGCCGTGTGGGGTTATGGCGGTGCTGGTCCTGGTCCGCTCTCCGCTGCCGCGGCTTCGCGCTCTGCTGCAGCGCTGCTGGGGGCGGCTGGAGCGCGGCCTCTGGCCGGGTGTCTTCGGGGGCCAGAGCCCGTCCTGGGGTAGGTTCCGGGCTCTTCTCCGCCCAGCTGAAGGAACTGCACGCGTTCCTATGTCACCTGCTTTGGGAAGGGTTTGGCGTAGATAATCTCAGAGGTCCCTTCCAACGCCATCGATTTTGGGATTTTGTGAGAGGGCGACGTCGGGGCTGAGGACTCGTTTTACTTCTGAAGGGCGGGGGGAGGCAGGGAGGGCGCTGAGGTCAGTGAGGGAGCGGGGCGGCGGCGCCGCTCTGGCCTTGCTTCGTGTCGTGTTTCCTCGACCGCACGTAAATGGGGCTTGGCTGTAAAGAATTTCAGATCACAGATTCTGAGCTGGAAGGAGCACACAAGGATGATCAAGTCCAACTCAGCCCTGCACAAGACAGCCCCAAGAGTCCCATGTGCCCAAGAGCATTGTCCAAATGCTTCCTGAACTCTGTCAGGCTTGGAGCTGTGACCACTTCCCTGGGGAGCCTGTTCCAGTGTCCAGACACCTTCTGGGGGAAGAACTTTTTCCAAATGTCTGACCTAAACCTCCCTTGACTCAACTTCATGCCATGCCCTTTAGTCCTGTCGCCACAGAGAAGACATCAGTTCCTCCCCCTCTTTTTCCCCTCTTGCAGAGGTTGTAGAATGTGATGAGGTCTCCCCTCAATCTCCTCCAGGCTGCACAGATGAAATAACTTCAGCTGCTTCTTGTATGGCAAGAAGGACAGGCCCTTCACCATCCTCATGGCTCTTCTTTGAATGCTCTGTAAGAGCTTTATATCCTTCTGATGTTTTGGTGCCCAAAACCGAGCACAGTATTCAAGGGGAGGCTGCACCAGTACAGAGCAGAGTGGGACAATCACCCCCCTCTTTTCCTTTCTCCTGTAGGACCAGCACTAGCTGTGCAAGGTCCGGCTCTTGTTCCACAAGGGATCAATGATGCTGGAGCACCGAGCCTGCTGGAGAGCGTGGTGTGGATGGCGGCGCCCAAGCAGCGGCGCACCATCGAGGTGAACCGCTGCAGGCGGAGGCATCCCAGCAAGCTCGTAGAAATAAAGGTAAGCAGCAAAACCCTGGTTTTGGACACTCATTGCAGAGGGAAGGACTGACTGCAAAAGCTCTCTGGAGTTTGTTTATAAATCAATGAGCTTAAAAGATACTATCATCTTTAAAATCCTTTGTAAATTCTTTGTAATTCATGTGTGACTGTAGTCTGAGGTTAAATGAACAGTGACACTTGAAGTGCAAGCCAACAAAATGTGAATTTTGGCTGAACAGATAATGTAAATGGAAAAAGTGTACCTTTTCTGTGCACCTAATTGAGTCCATTGGTCTTTAGTCTTCTAAACATAATTAGGATAATGACTTAGATACTGAATTTAGAGGTCATTCTTAGTAGTAAGGATTTGACATAGCAACACATTACAGAAAAGTTACGTAGAAGAATACATTTTGAAATGGTAGGTGAATTTCTTTAATTTAACATTTTTATTTGTAGTAGTTCCCTGTTTCTTTTTTTGCTGCTGCTGTTCAAATTAGAAAATTTCCTGTTTTCCACTGTCATTTTAGAGGAACATAGATGTTTGTCCTGAATGTGGAAACTTGAAGCAGAAACACATCCTTTGTGGCTATTGTTACGCAAAGGTCAAAGAAGAAACTCGACTGATACGGATGGAAATATATAAGAAAGAAGGAGAACCATTTAATGCTCCAACTGTAGAGACTGTTGTCCTTTATGAAGGAGAAAAACCCATGGAAAAAGATGAAGGCAAGCGGATCATCGAAAGAGCCAGGAAGCGTCCATCTTGGTTTGTTCAAAATTGATGCTGTAGAATTAACAGTAGCAAAAGCAGTTGCTGCAGGAAGAGAATTCATGATTTCAAGAATGTTTTTCTCGTTCACTCAGTGTGAATAGAACTCCTCTGAACTTTTGGGAAGCCCGCTTGAATTTTGTGTCATGCCATATGATTTTCCAGTCAGATGTTGTTTCTTCAGCATGCAGTGGGAAATGCTTCTCAGTGATACATCGCAGCAGTCAACAGAGAGAAATCAGGATCTGCCTTGGATTTGGATATCTGCATACCCTGAACAACTTGTATGCTAATGTTCTATGCTGGTTTTGTAAATAACAGCTTTTAAATTCACAGATGTACAATGAAGTTTAAGTGTCCCAGGGAAATTTGCTTTCTGGTTTTAGCTACTGCTCTTTTGGAGGGGGAAAAATGTTTAAAATTAATATTGATCATAAACAAAGGATATTTTCCAGGAAATATGCAGTTATTTCGTTATTTCCTTTGTGTGGATTCCTTTGTGTGGATCTCTCTACAATGCTGCTGTTTGAGATAATTTGTGATAGTCCTAGGTTTGATCAAAGTAGTGATTGCCACACAGTATTTGCATTTTTTTCTGCACTGGATGAAGGTTGAATATTCCTTGCTGTTGTCAGTATACAAAATAATTCTATCTTAAAGGGATGTGTAAAGCCTGTTCCCCCTCCTGTCCCCTGTCAGCGTACACTTGAGTAAAAAACAAATTGAAATGTAATGACTGGAAATCTGTAAATGTGACAGGGTCAAAGCTGTTTATTTGCAGCTGTTCAGTAGTCTGGGTGGTCAGTGTGTGCTTGGAAAACCACGAGCAGCCATGGTGCCTTCAGCTGGAATCCTGGGCAGAGAGGGGGCAGCTCTGCCTCCACTCTCCGTTGGTGCCCTTCAGAGGTACAGCTGCAGCACCTGCCTGGATTTTCACTTTGGTTTTAGCCACAAAGCAGCACCACTGCTTTAGGGGTTTAAGTCTGTTTTCAGTTTTTGTCAGTTGCTGCCTGGAGAAACACGCACCTGATCACCCACATTTCCTGAACTCCTGTGTTTTTAAGGGCTGCTTCCCAAGGAATTCTCTGAGTAAGTCTCCTAAACAGGCCAAAGTCTGCCCTCCAGAAGTCCAATGTAAAAGTCTTAATTGATGTTCCTCCTCATTTCACCAAATATTGAGAACTCTATAATTTCATGATCACTCTGCCCCAAGCTGCCTCCAACCACCATATCTCCCACCAGCCCATCTCGATTTGAAAACAGCAGATCTAACATAGTCCCTCCCCTGGTGGGCTCACCCACCAGCTGCAACAAAATGTTGTCCTCCATACACTAAAAATTTCCTGGACTGCCTCTTTTCTGCTGTATTAAGTACCCAGCAGGTGTCTGGTAGGTTGAAGTCACCCACAAGAACAAGGGCTGGTGATCCTGAAATATTCTCCAGCTGCTCATAGAATAAGTTGTCCATATCTTCTTCCTGGTTGGGTGGACAATAACAGACTCCCAGTAGGATGTCAGCCTTGTTGGCCTTCCCCTTAATTCTTACCCATAGGCATTCAACTCCATCTTCATCAGTTTCAATACCTGTGGCATCAAAAGCCTCCCTAATATAAAGGGCCACCCCTCCACCTCTTCTCCCTTTCCTGTCTCCTCTGAAGAGCTTGTAGCCATCCAGTACAGTGCTCCAACTATGTGAGTCATCCCACCATGTTTCTGTGATGACAATTACATCATAGCTCTGCTGCTGCACCGTGGCTTCCAGCTTTTCTTGTTTGTTGCCCACGCTGTGTGCACTAGTATATGTGCACTTCAGCTGGGCTACTGATTTCACCCCTATCTCAGGTTTACCACCCTTGGGCCTGCTTCCAGAGAGACCAGCTGCATCCCCTTTCTCCTTCAAACTTAGTTTAAAGCCCTCTCAACGAGTTCCACCAGTTCATGAGCTAAAATCCTCCTTGCCCCTGACGGAGAGATGGAGCCCATCCAGTTTCAGCTGGCCAGGTGCCATAAAAGTTGCCCCATGGTCAAAGAACCCAAAATTCTGCTGATGACACCATCCCTTGAGCCACTTTTTGATAATGTGGGCTCCCCTATTCCTTTCATAATTTTTTGCTGCCACCAAAGGGACTGCTCCCTTGAGCAGAGCACTACCTGTGTCTGGGTTGTCCCTCTATTTCCTTGGCACTTGAGTGTATGTGTACCTTCGCTTCCTGGTTCAGGAAGCTGTGCTGACTTAGAACTGTTCCCTGGCTTTCTACATCATGGGTTTTTTTTTTTTGGTGGGGATCTCCCCACAGGGATCTTCTGTCAGGGTCAGAAAAGTGGCAGACTGTAGGAATATAAAAGTGGAGGACACAGGACCACACTTTCCACAATAGCCTTCATTTGTAGTTGGCTGAGCTCCTTATGCCTGCTTAAGGAGTGGGCTGGTGTGTGCTAGAATATTTCATTTTTGCTTTCCTTGCTCTGGATCCCATGCTTTGAAGCATAACTGGTAGTAACAGATGTTAGTGGAGATATACTACATTTCCTCCAGAAAGTAAAGGCATAATGAAACTGACAAGTGCAAACTGGTGCCATTCAGTTGACAATAACCAAGCAAACAACGAAGGTCCTTTTGATTTGTCCAAACAGGATTTAGTCCAGTCGTGTCTGTCTTTTGCTTGTTCAGAAGTGAAGCCAATAAAAGGTGTCCAGCAGGATGTGGAGTGGAAAGCTAACTTTTGACAGAGCTGCATGGGATGAGACTGACACATTAGAGGTGAGATTAGCCAAGCAGTAAGGCAGATACACACATGCCTTTCCCACAGGGCAGTGTGTTTTACAGAGGGGTGAGGAGCCTTTGATTGGTCCACATATAGGACCAATTACACCTTGCCAATTGCACTCAGTTGCTGATTAGATATTAATATTTGACAGTTCTGTAGGAAAAAAGCTGGATAAACATAACTTCCTCCAAGATCAAAATCAAGATCAAGATCAAGATCAGTGAATCCTTACAGGTAAGAAATCAAGCAAAGGGGCAAGACACCTGTGTAGATGAGCAAGAAGCTTCTGGCAAAACATAAAGAGAACTAGGAAGTTTATGGAAACTTGAGAAAAAAGGGACAGGGTTCTTGGGCACTTGGGAGGGATACAGAAATGTTTTCAGAGTATACAGGAATGAGATCTGGAAGGCTAAGGTCTGTTTGGAATGAAATGTGGCAAGGGATATCAAGGACAACAACAGGGGCTCCCTCCAGTACATCAGTAGCAACAAAGATTTGGGAAGATTTGGGAAAACGTGGGCTCACTGCTGGTGATGACAAAAGATCCAGAGAAGGCAGAGTTATGGAAGGTCATTTTTTGCTTCAGTCTTTACTGACTCTGTAGGCAAGTAAAAAAGTCTGGAGAAAAGATTTTGTGTTGAGGAGTAACAGGTGCTAGTCTGACACTCCTCAACACAAAATCTTTTCTCCAGACTTGTGGGTGCCAAGGCAAACTTAATACCCACAAATCCATGGGCCTTGATGGGATGCACCCTCAAGTGCTGAGGATTATTTGTAAAATAATGGAGAGGTACATGAGAACTCAAACTTCAAAAAGAACAAGAAGGAGGACAGGATCCAGGGAACTATGAGCCAGTTAACCTCAATCCCTGGAAAGGTGATGGAAGAGCCTGGTTGTCATCTCCAAGTGTGCAGACAAAAAAGAAGGTTATGACAAGTAGTCAACATGGATCCACCAAGGGGAAATCATGCTTGGCCAGCCATCCTTGTATGATGGAATGACTGGATGGGGAAATGAGGGAAGAGCAGTGGATAATGTCTACCTTGGCTTCAAGGCTTTTGACACTGTCTTCCACGACATTTCCATAGGTCAGAACTGGCTGAATGGCAGGTCCCAAAGCGTTGTAATCATCACCGCAGAGTCCAGCTGGAGGCCTGTACCTGGCAGTGTTCCCCAGCAAGGGGTCCAGTCTTGTTCAACAAAGATCATTAAGGGACTGAAGGACAGGCTGAGGGAGCTGGGCCGGTTCAGCCTTGAGAAAAGACAACTGTGGGGATCTTACCAATGCATAAACTGCTCTAGGTGAACCTGCTTTAGCAGGAGGTTTGAACTAGATGGTCTCCAGAGGTCTCTTCCAACCCCAACCATTCTGTGATTCATCTCATAGCCATACAGTTTATGTTGGTTCTGCATTTATGCAATCCAGACAAGAGGAGATGCTTGACAATGTTTCATCGTTGTTTCTGAGTAGTGTGAAGGGAAAATCATTTGGTATTCATGGTATCTACAAGAAAAATGAGAACCAATTGATAAATATTGAAGATTTGTATATGTAATTGATGTTGTAACAGTTAATTTTCCATAGAAGAAGTTATCTTCAGTGAGTGTCAGAGCAGTCTTGTTTGAATGACTTTTCCTTCAGAAGAATAGCAAAGCTCACTTTCATTGCTTTGTCGTGTTAACTCTGCCAATGCCAAGCTCCATTACCTTCAAATAAAATTGTGAAAAATAAAAATTCCTCTAAAACGTCCAGCCTGGTCTGTTACTTGAAATAAACCCTGTTTAAAAAGTAATTTTATAAAAATATAAATTGCAGTAGTGCTACTATAGAAACACACTTTTGGAAACAGGGTAAATTACAATTAACAAGAGGCAAGCTGTTTGTTGCAAATGCTGTGCTTTAGAATCCATTTACAAACAAAAATTTTATGCACCAGTAATTTAATTTTGATTCTTTGTGTACCTCCTAGAAATTAAAATAGACTTTTTTGTCTAAAAACTTCTTATGATTAAATAGATATATTTGATTACATTTTTTTCTTCTATAAGGATTTTATTTAAAAATTTATTTATTTTGCATTTTTAAAATATTCGTAAAGATGATGTAATATCCTAAAATATAAAGATGCAGGTTGCTAAACAATTTTGTGTATTAGTAAGATCTGCAGGCATAGAGGTGATCTCTGGCAGTGATCAATTACGATGTCCTTAGAGGCTGATAAAACAAGTTCCTTCTTAATCACCCATTTAGTGAGAAAATGTTAATAAAATGTTTCTGTATAGAAACATCTATTCTGTTGAACATCCTGTGCTGGTATTTGATGTAAGATACCCTCCTTCAAAGCACTAGGTGGCAGAGAAGTGCAGGTTTCGGGCAGGTGTGAAACAGAGGCCTGAGCTCTCAAGTGCGATAGGAAAGAGATTCGAAGAATTTTCACCTGTGTAAGCAGAACTTCTGCGAAAAGACTGAATTTGATAAATACGAAGAAAAATACAAGAATAGTTATGAAAAATAAATTAATATATTATAATTAATTGTTCCAACTAGATCTAATTCAATCTATATGGAGAACAAATGCTCTGGCTTTTGTTTACATTTATGCACTTCTGTTCTTTGCTGGGTGAATTATTTGAAATTGCAGTTTTACCTGTCATTTCTCCTTAATTACAGATGGCTTTTCATGTTGTTTTCTATGCCTATAGAAAACAATGACTATATATTTCTATGCCTGTATATTCAGATAGTTGACATTTTCTTTATGCAGCTAGAAAGTCCCCAAAATAATAGGTCTGATGGCATTCCAGTGAATATAAAGGTATTATTGTCTTGAATTCATAGAGCCGTAAGGATCTATTTGTAAACAGCAGACAGAAACTGGAAAGAAAAGGAACTAGTGTGGTGTTAAAAAAAATTAGTTGCTCAGAACAGAACAGAAGATTTTGTGCCCCATCAAAGGTTTGAAA